CCCTGCGCGGTGCGGGCCGGCCGGGAGCCGCCCACCAGGGCGTTGTAGCTCTCCGCGATGCGCTCCCAGCGCCGGTTCTTCTCCAGGATGGTGGCGTGCCGGTGCTTGTTCTCCTCGATCACCTTCACGTGGGGCTGCAGCAGCCGCAGCAGGTCCAGTTTTTCCGCCTGGGTGAAGTTGGAGGATCGGGCTTTCCCCACCATCCCTGCCGCCACCCCCGCCGCGGCCCGCGCCCACGGCCCGCCGTCTCAAGAGCCCATGCTCGTCGGCGCCGTCTCGAAACTCCGATTTGATCGCCCCCCCCCCCCAAAAAAAAATACCCCACACCCGTTTTTATTGCTTGGTGGGCCGTGCGCCAACCACACTCCAGTTTCTTTCAGTATGGCAAGTCGTTTCCAGTTCCCGCCTCCTCCATCCCCCCAGTTGAACCGAGCCGTGTTTCGGAGCGCTCCTGCTCCTTGCAGGTGCTGCAGATGTCTTTGACTGCTGTGCTAGCACAGGCTGGGAGGCAGGCAGGAAGCACCAGCAGCCTCTGATGAGGAGAGTCAGGACTCTACATACCGGCTCGGCCTTCTCCAGCCTCACTCACGCACAGACTTGACCTGCTCTCGTTCGAGGCTCCAGGCCTCCGGGGACAGGGATGCTGATAGAATCTGTGCCCGAGACGTGCTCATTGATGTATATGCTGCGGTTCCGATCTGACAATACCCTAACCACAAGCCTTTCCTGCTTACATTCTCTTGTTTCCAGCTTAAGCTCAGTGTGTGTGTCCGTATGTGTGTGTGAGAGAGAGAGAGAATGAGTGAGTGTGTATATTTTTCCGACTTTCAAACCAGCCCCCTAGAGGCAATCTTATTTCTTCTTGCTCGCAGATTAGGTTGAATTTAAGTCAGAGTTTCAGAAGCATGTCAGGCTGCTCTGGTATTGCACAATGCTGACACACAAGATTTACAAAGAGCTCCTGCTGCCAGACTAAATTGGCCTCTTCTGCAGGCCTTGGACATGTAACCTAGGAACAGCCCAGTACTAGTCTGTTCTATTTACAGAAATCTTTTTCTACCCTCTTTGTGAATTTTGATGTGAAATTAAAACAAAAAAACTCTCCAGAGTAAGATTCCCCATTTACTTTACTTAACCTAATACGTATTACATCTGGTTTTAAGTTACACGAAATAATCGATGCAGTCCTAATCTTTCTAAAACACATTTCTACACCTCAGAATGGAAAAAACATCTGCTAGTGTATTCCAACAATTAAGAAAGGAACTTATTAAAGTAGCATCAAAAGACCTATCGACACTTAAATTACAATAGTGAATATTATTCCTTCTAGTTCAGTCATAAAACCATTCTTTACATCTGTTCAGCAGGTCTTTGACATTTCACGGTACACAAAAAATGCTCTTACTGTATATGTTTTCTCTCTCTACAGGAACATCCGAAACAAGGACAAAAGGGAGACTCCAGGATAAATTACAAGAATATAAAACAAAAAGAGCAAAGAGTAACATTGTGAATTGGCATGAAAGACATTTTCTGCATGAGCACGACAACTCTTCAGTTCACCCCGATCAAAGCAGAATAGCCAAGGCAGAGTCAGTACAGCACTGCCCAGGCCTCTGCTGTACAAAGCACATGCAGCTCCTCCAGTACACCAGCTTACTGAAGCTTCTGCTCACTTCACCAACAGTGGTAAAACATTTAATATCGAGGAAATAACACTATTCTGTCTGCCTGCTTGTTCTGTGTAGCCTACCTTTCTCCCAGAAACACAGATCATTTAACGACCCCCCAGAAGAAATGCAAAGAACACATTAGAAGCATTTTTCAAAGTGTATCTTCTGCTTAAAGATAGCAGTTCAGGCTGTCCCATGAAAGTACTGTATGCTGCTTCATCTATAAGGCTTAAGTTTAAATTCACACCTTTACCAGTGAAATGGGACTACCTACCAATGACATCATCCCTTAAAAGCATTTAGCAAAAACAGTCACAAATGTAATTCTTTTAAGAAATGCAATATGAAAACACAGCCACATTTGCATTTTCTCATTAGGTTGCAAGGCATAGTACACGTATGTTATAAAGGGCTTCTGAAATCTCTCATTTTATATCCTTAATGGTCAGCAAGCATTACAGTAGAAACATACTGTAGATCACATCAGAATAATTCACTAGGGCCTCCGCAGCCTCATATCTAAGAACCTAAAATTACATCCTACTCCATTCACCAATCACTTCCTACCTTTGCAGCAATTAGTTGTTCCTGGCCCAAAATCATATCCTAAAATCCGTTTTCACCTTGTTCATAAATTACCAGATTTAAAGGTTTAATTCTGCACACCGCTATTCAGACTATGGTATACAGAACGTTACCACCATAACTGGACAGACATGACATTAACAGAGAACAGATAAAGATCAGATAAAAAAGGTCAAAACCATTGAAACAATGCTCAGAATCTCCAGTGCCTTCCTGAAAGAAGGAATGCTTCTAAGGTGTATGCAAGACTCTAAAAAGCTAAAAGTGTCTATTTTGTTTTTCTCGAATTTGTCACCTTTCAACCACAGTTTGTCACTTATCTATCACCTTCCTGGACCAGGCAGGAAAAAACGAAACCATCCTTCTATACTGTATATGTAGCATCACACTGGACCAAAACCATAATGCTGCATTGTTCTATACTGACAAAGCCATCTCCTGAAGGGCAATGCACCAAGTTCAGCTTTCACTTTTAATTGATGAAGGTTAACTTCAGGCAACTACCACTTTTTTTTCCAATAGCAGGTTTTCAATCTCAAGTGTGAGGTTCAAAACATCACGTGGTCAAAAAGCTCAAGCCTATGAAGACACAGCCAAGAGGAGTTTTAGTAGATATGATGCTCAACTCACCATCTGGAGTCCTGTGGTCTGACTCTTCTTCTCTCACAGTAAGACTATCGGAGAGTCCCTGCAGCGTTGAGCTGTTCTCCTCGGTGTCACCCAGGGGAACAGCATTAAGGATTCTTGCCAAGGCTTTGGATAAGACAGGGGCCTCCGATTTATTTTCCTGGGGAGCTGTCACCTGCAAGAAGCAGTTAAGACAAGATCAGGGATCAATACAATGCAGATGATACCACAGCAAAGAAAACACTCTACAAGACCTTGGCTGTTTAAATGTATGGAAAGTTCTATTGCACACACCGTGCACGAAACACTGGACTGCTGGACATTTCCCCTGACAGGGAGGTTTGATTAAATGTGTGTTTGACTGCAAAATGCAAAAAGGCTTCTCACATGTTACATTTGAAAATACCGAGACATCACTGCCAGCATACTAGGACATTCATTATCTGGAAGAAACAAATCAGGACACTGCTCACGTCAGCAAAGGCACCGGTTCTTTTTCAGCTTTTATTTAGTGATGAAACAGTCTCCCTGTAAAACCTATACATAAAACGTCAGAACGTTCAGGTTCTGATCAAAATATTCACTTTAAAAACATGTGTATACTTCATTTGTAATTCACTCAAATGGGACATTATTGGAAAGTAAGAGCTGGTATAAGACACTGTATATTTTATTTTTAGGCAAGCCCATGCATACATATGATCATTTTAGAATAAAAAAAACAATCTGGGTTAGGGTTAGGGTATTGGGACACCTTCACTTTCAGCAAACTTGATAGCGTAAAAGCCAGTGTTTGGTTGCTGATCCCTTTGGGACAATAACAGAACAAAGTCTGCGATCCACACCAAACCCTAAGTCTAATTATTTAAGATACTTTTAGCTGCAGCTACTTTGGGTTCTTGGGGTGTTGCGACTTCAGTTTCTCTTCATCATACTGTATGAAATGCATGCATCCTGCAGAAGCCCCAGTCTCAAGGAATCTGAACCTTCTCAGTCAGTCAGTTAGTCAGTCTGATTTATGAATCACATATCTAGAGCGTAGTAATTTACGGCCCATAAACCTAAATATCAAATTCCATTTCACAACATCTGCACAGTACAGGGGGGTTTAAAATGGAAGTTGTAAGCAGCCAGGGGCTACTGAGCGAACGCCTTACCTACCTTGTTCAGCGCATTGCACAGCGGAGGGCTGGGGCGTTTCGGGTCGGGCACAGAAGCAGCTCTCATGTGCATCGATGCCGGGGGCACAAACCTGGGCTTCTTGGCCACATTGCCACACAGCTGACTTGGAGCCCCTGACCTGCGCATACTGAGATACCAGCCCACCTGCAGGAGTTCAGAAACAGAATAGTTCTATTGAGGCATCGCGTGGGCAGGCTTGCTGGCCCCTGGGTCTTACGATAGCAATGAAAGGCCATGATTGCGATGGACAGGTAATTGGACAACACTATCCTCACACTGGTGCTCACTAACCTCGGGGAGAATTTTAGGAGAGTAGGGTTAAATCTAGCAACCTAATTACGCTTAGGATGAAATCGAGGGTATTGTTGATCTCTTGAAAAGGGATCCTTCAGGCAAATAAGATTTAAAAAGCCCAGTACAATGGATATGTTTCCCAAAATATGATGAGTAACATTTCTCTACTTCAAAATGCAGATTACATACAACAAAGCAGCAATTAAAAAAATGATCATCCGAATAAATTACAGATTACAGGTAATCTCATTGGGAGATTTATTACAAATTCATTTTTAAAAAATCATGCCGTTTCTCGTTAGCCTTCAAACTGACACGTCAGTGGACATAACAGCACAAACTGTTCCATATGTAGCTACATATCGTACCGAAACTTAAAGATTATTTTAGCATCTCCGAAAAAGACCTTATATAGACTTACTATATTAAAACAGAGCACATAAGCAGAACTGCCAGTTAAACGGCCGCCCGATTACCTATATGTTGTGTCTATTACCTGAAAGCTAGACCCGTTTTTAAATGATGTGCTTATATGTCCGATCTAGGTAGTTGTGGGAATGAGAACCGTCGATAATAACGATCCAACAGCCTTCCATTTTATTAACTGTGGCATAAAAAACAAAACAAAATAGTCAACCTTATACACGATATACAGCACCGCATTATTACTTACATTAGAAACTTGCAACCAAGCGGGCTAGACGGGCCAAATGACGCCCTTTCTTATGTTTTTATGTTCTAGGTAGACAGAACCCCTCTATACCACAATAAAGATTATTTTTTTTCCCTACAAATCCTCTTCTTATTTCCTCCCGGCGGCGGCCACCTCCGTAGACTCAAGTCTCCCGCGTAACCAGGATCCGCCCTCCGATAGGCCGCGGTCATGGGGCGGAGATACGAGTGCTCCCACCTTCATTTCGCAAAATGAATAGCCTTGCTATTATTAACCTTATAATTATAAGCTCAAATAACGTGAACACAAGAGATTAATGTTCAGACGTGGATAAAAAAGCATCTTATCAGTAAATAAAAAACCTTTTTTGTGCTTTACCGTCACTTCTTGCCACACCGATTATGGTCGCCGTAACACTCCATCTCATGGCGGATGTAAATGTATTTTTAATAGGACGCAGGAATCTGGTCCATAACGTATCATTAGTCTTTTTCAATTTCTATATAAAATACAGAACCACCCGTATTGAAAGCTCGGGTTTAGAAATTAAAGAGAAAAATCCTTAAAAACGCTCCTGCCACACTGCCGAATCACCCCTCGCCTTTTTTTTTGCCGAGTGAATGTCAATATATCGCCACAGTTTGCGACAGTTGGTTCTTGTCACCTGAAAACAGCAGGTAAATAAAATACATTGAAGTAGAGGAATCGAGGGTAAGATACGCGGTGCGTTTTAATTATTCGTATTTGTCTTCCATTTAATTACAAAAAATATTTTTATACGACATTCTGATGCAAAAATACTGAATACTGAAATGACTGGTTTAACTGTCATTGTGCAGAAAGCTTTTCAAATACTATAAGAAACGTAACAATTAAGTCTATATTAAATGGTAAGTTGATTTATGTTTTATCATATGCATATAGTGCTGTGCATTGTGAATTCTGCCAACTTCTCTCCTGCACTGGCTTTCTGTAAATTGTAAAGAACTGTAAATATTTTAAAAACTAAACTTTAAAACAACAGTTCGTACGTACAGTAGTAGCAGTGTAGTGGTGATGTACAAGCATTGCATAAGATTGTCCGGTTATCAAAACAATCAATAACTTTAGGTACTGTAGGTGTACAAACCACGAAGTAAGAAGATAAGATAATAAACGATAATAAATATTTATTATTTTCCCTTTTGAGCTCAGCATCCATGAGCTTCAGTATAACAAGGGTTTCTGTTTGATCCGGTAAAGATACCTTGCATTGTTACTAATACGATATTAACATGGGGGGAGTTGTTAAAGTAGTAGTCTGAAATGGCATAGACGTTCTCTATGTGGACGTCATGAAGCTGAACAGTGTTCGGTAAGTATAGCATCTCAGTTTAACATTGCGCTTTCGAAACGATACAACACAGAAGCTTAGTTGTAGAATTTACCAGTTGTAATTTCTTACAGCTAGTAAGAAATTTACGATTACCAGCACAGAGCAAGGGAAAAGGGTTGTGTGTCTGATGAAGCATGCTGGAGAATCAAGGCTTACAAACTGCAGCAGTGCCAGTCTGTAACTTACAGTGTAAGGGGTTACAGTACATGCAGATAGTGGAAACATAAACTGTGATTAGAAGATAGGGGGAAAACACTGATCTGAACACTGAAAATGCTGCTTATGAAAAGGTTGATGTCGGTCCATCATTTACATCTTCCAAGACCAGTAGCAATGTGTGGGAAAACAATGAAAAGGCAAACAACCTAGTCTTTGGATTGTGGGAGGAAAACGGAGCACCCGCAGGAAAGTTAGATATACAGTACAGGCTTAAAGGAGTGTGCAACACTGGCAGGCTAAAGGAATTGAACCTTTTTAGCCCTGTACAGAGAGGACTATGAGGAGACCTGATCCAGGTATTCAAAATCCTCAGAGATATAGGCAATCCAACTAATGTCTTCAAAATCAACCCAGAAACACACATTTAGAAGACTCGAGTGGAAACTCCAGAGAAGCACACATAAAACTGAAAATAGGACATATATTTTTACAAAAAGGGTTATCAGAATATGGAACAGCTGCACAAACGTACTTATTTTTTAAATTTAAGTTTTGAGAAATTAACTCAAAACAGCTACCTTAGAAAAATGTTGTAATAACAATATTATTTCTTCAGTAAGTGCAATAGGTATGAGTTCCTTCTTTTTTGTATAAGCCAAATGTTTGGAGCAAGCACTTTTCACATAGCCAGGAGCAGCGTAAAGCATTGCTCTGCTTTGTTCTTGTGATAGAAAGAGTCTCTATGCTACAGAAGGCAGAAGGAATGTTGTTTTCACAGAGCCTAGTAACGGTAAAGGCATTTGTGCAGTAGTAAAGATTGCGCATCTGCAAACTGCCTCGCAGAGCTTGGCAGATTTCACTGTGTGACTGCTATCTTTATTAAAAAGAAAAACATTTGTTGTGTTTGTATTTGGGTTAAATAATTTCGTACATTCAGTTCCAAAAGGAGGTTCTAAATGCACAGGTATGAGCTTGTGCAGTTCTGAGTCTTGGATAAACTTGCTCCATGTATCGCACCAGTCCAGGGGAGTGTGATCCGGATGGCAGGGTGGGTGGGGATACACCACGAGCCCTGTCCCTTGCTGGTGGTGGACTGTGATGCACCCTCCAGTCCCTCTCTCACGTCTCTATCTGTTTTACCCGGTGGAGAAGGTCTGAGTCACAGTGGTTCAGGGACCCATCAGCCCCTTTAGGGCACCCTAGGCCCTCTGACGCAGTGGCAGAAGTGTGCGGATGTGTGAGAGAGCTGGGTGGAGCTAAATAAAACCAGTCTTTCCCTGAACTACATCTAGTGGATAGTGCGCACATCTACTTTACCTGTTGGCCTTCCCTCATAAATTTCTGTGTTGACATCTGTCCATCGATTTTCTAACCACGCCAATGCATCCCATTCACAGGAGGAGCCTAGCACAAGGGGCACGAGGCGGGGTACACACTGAAAGGGGCACCAGCACACACAGTCGTACACACACCGAGGCCAGTTTTCCCTGAAGCCAGTTAACCTACCAATATGTCCTGGGATTGTAGGAGAAAACCTATGTGAACATGGGGAGAACATGCAAACTCCACACAGACAGCAGCCCAGGTCCGGCATGGAAACAAGGGCCCCAGCACTGCGAGGCATCAACGCTAACCCTTGTGCCACCATGCCATGCCACCCTCTGAGTTGAAAGTGTTTTGTAATGGCTTGTTGTTTTTCGGATGACACTACCATAAAGTAGTGTGTTATATTCAGGGTATCGTCACCTACAGCGGAGTTGTAAGAATAATCTTTGACATGGCGGTTACTTAAATGCTGACTTATGTACCATGTGCCTTGAGGTACTTTAGCTGATGGTGCTAATTTATCTTTTTTTTTCCAGAGTGACAGCCTTCCATGACAGTATTTGTGTGTAATATTTGTTTTCTTGATATTGGTGTAGACAGATTGAGCATATGTTACAAATGTCAGGCAGTTGTAAAATGTCCCTTATGCAAAAAGGTTTCTAAAAAAGAGAAGAAATTCAGTCAGTGAAGGAGGGGTTTTGAACTGAACGCCTTTGCAGTCAGAATACATTTTGGTCTTTGTTTTTTAGACTGCTTGATATAAACTACAAAGACACCTCTCTACTAACAGTGGAAGGTGAAATTGTGGATTTTGTTCTACACTGCTGAAATGTCATTAAGCTAATACCATTAACTTGTAGGGAGATTCTAAGTGCATTCAAGGTCATGGTAGCTTAAGTGCTGGTTGATTGAGGTTATCTTATTCGAAAAGGAATCCATTTCACTCCAGACACGATATCACGTCAGCTGAGGGTCACATGAGCGCTGGGCCTCCATTTTTGCACCTAATATAGTGAGAATTGATTTGAACAATCAGTACGTTTAGTAAAATGGAGGTGTAAGACTAGCGAATCCTAACATCCATCCAGTATCATAAAGCTGCTTATCCTGGTAGGAGTCAGAGCAAGCCAGAGGCACCAGGCAGGGCTGGGAGCGCATTTGCTTGCTCTCCCTCTGGATGGGAAGCCAGTCCTTTGAGGGGAGCTGCACTAACGCATCTATTGAAAGTGCTGCAACAAAAGGAGTGTTTAATGAGAAGGGGCGGCTTCTATCACCAGTGAGTCCGAGGAAAACTAAACTCCTGAACTAACTTGGATTCATTGCACTTGCTGCAATTAAGTGAGTGACCCTCAAAGCCAAAAAAGAGGACATTTGCTTCCTTGTAAATTGATCATGTCAGAGAATTGTGTGCACAACCTTTACATGATGATGATGAAGTGCTCAGAATGTTTGATTTTATTTTTGCAAGGTTGATACTTATGTCCTTTTTTCTGCTTTGATATGCAATAGAGAGACTTTCAGTAGCAAGTTTAAGATTAAGGTGTGTTTGTCTGGAAATGTAATGTATACTCGTAATGCAATTATTGATTTTCTATCAAAATTGATTTTTTTGCCAGTTTGGATTTGGACTAATAAAAAGCAGAGCAGGTTTATCACAATCATTCATTTCTGTCTTTTAAAATGCATTTTTAACCATTTTATTGGAGTACTTTATGGGGACTATAATTGATAATTATGTATCAATCATTTAGCCTTTCTGTAAACATTGTCTAGTATAACTCCTAAGTGTCTATAATTTCTGTACTTTTCAACATATTCTTATTGGCTCAGACCTTGTGGTATTGACATCTAAACATCAAAGCAGTAAATTTACTTTTTCAAATAGGGCACATCTGTACAAATGGACTGAAAATGCATAGATGTTTGTAATAAGCAATTCCCTTCCCTTGAAATTTGCCTGACACTTTGCATTTAACTCTGTGATGGGCCTCAGACTCAGATTTCAGGCATAAAATGAAACAAGGGCGTAGTGTACAATCTATCAGACATGTACAGAAATGTTAGGTTATGTAATTAAATCTGGTCAGAAATGGGAAAATCCCAGCTTTTCAGCCTTACATTTTACATTGCAAGAATTGAAGGGAAATATTTACAGTAGAAGATGGGCCTACTTGCAAGTTTTCAAATGAAACCATGACCCTTCTACATCAATTATACAATACGTTATGACCATGTTAAGTACAGTAGGTGAGGGGTCGCCTTTAGTGAGCTATATCTCATGAAGGGGATGTCATGTATGGCTAATATTTACACTGTAGCCATTTCTCACAAAGTTTTTTTTT